ATATGAAGTCGATTAGATGATGTCTTTCCTTAAGTGGCAACTTGTCAAGCTTCACGGCGACAAAGACTCCATAACATTATAAAAGATACAAACTGAGCTTAGATTCTCAATAAAAGAAAGATAATTAGTTCATACAAATATACATCGAACCAATAATCAACAAGAGGAAGACTTTTCAAATATAGAAAGAAAGAAATAAATAATGTTCCCATAAGTCACAAAATTACTTTAGATGTTTGAACTCTAACGAACACCATTGAAAGGTGGGGACAGAACCATATACCTCTCAAGAAACGTGCACTTTACTACAACCAGATGATCGTATTGCATTTCTCCCATGGCAGATATATATATATAGACAACAAATTGTCATGTCAATAATCAATAAGAAGAGACAACTACTTACTTAAATATGCTCAATCTAATTCTATACATTTATAGATCATCAAAGTGTTGTACTTATGGATAATATTCGATTTTAGCGGCTTTGTTCAAATCAATTGACCATTGTTGGCTGGCAAGCTAAAGACGATGTCATTTTCAAAGATTTTTTCTTCTTTTGTTGTAGGAAAATATTCTAGAATTATAACTTTTAGTTTCATTTTTGTTTAAGAGAGATGTTTTTCCCACACAAAAAAGAGACACTTAAAATCCATCATCACTAGAATACCACTGAGATAAGGAATTGCTTCTCAAAGAAAGCAACAAAAACACATAAACAAATAAATTTCATGAAAAAAATATGAAAATTGCACATCAGCATTTCCCTTTTATTCTCTTTTCATGAGACATCATTACCCAAAGTGTTCTTCTTTTCCTCATAAAAACTCAGTCACAAATAGAACAAATTCTGCATTAGGACAATTATGATCAATATTTAACAATTTCATCTTGGTTCAGACATCATCCCTCTTAATGTATACTCTCGTAATTTATCACCATCTCTTCTTGGGGCATTAATCCGATCAGTTCATTGTTGGACTACAACAATTATACTCCACAAACTTTGCATCAAACTATCCTGCCTAAATGATGTTGAAATAAGTTTTTATTCAAGCAAACAAAAGAGAAACAAATTTATGCAAACTATCTATGCTGAATATGATAACATTGCTATCTTCATACTACCCATATCGTTTTTAATCAACCTCCTCTATGAGAGCGATGGAATCTTCTCTTCATCTTTGCCAGCAGTTTCATCTAAGCATGATGGCCTGACGGCTTTATAGTAGAAGAATGCCATTATCTTCGACCACTCATCTGCACTCCGAACCACTGAAACAAAGAAAACTTGGTGACGTCTACTAGAAATTATTCAGATCAGACACTGTGTGATGCAACAGAGTTATGTATGTAGTACGTACCTTTATCGCGATGCAATATCTTCCCCGCTTTAGTGAAGAGAATTTCCGGGTAGATGGACACTTGCAGTGCATCGACGAGGTCATGCTCGACACAAGCATCAATGGCTACACACTGCAATTTGCACAGTTGTTTTCGTTAATACTGAGTCTGCTACTTGATGCAAATTGTCATTGCAAAGCAAAGATTCAAATGTTATGTCACCCTCGGTGAAGGCAATCCAGACTCCCAGAACATCTCCACCGCTCTCTCTAGCTCATTCCTGGCCTGCTCGTTCTCTCGAGGCCTGCAGACAACATCACAAATGCTTTTACAACTCACATCGGTGACCATCACAGTGAAGTAACGGAATTGGAACCGAGGAGGAAGAGAGCTAGCCTTCTGTATCGGTTATGGACAAGAATAACCAGAGGGTTGAAGTCCTTGAACACAGTATCCTCCCACTCTCTTGCTGTGATGTCTTTGATGGGCCGAATGTAATTGTCGTCCTGCCACACGACCTCCTTATCGCTGTCGTAATTGTAGTCATCATCGTCGTTCCTGACATTCTTGATGGTGATCTTGTTGAAGAACTGATCAAGGTTGAATCCCCGGCCATCGGCGTCCTCAGGCCAGTTGGGATCTTCCTCTTCAACCACCAACGGGTAGTCTGCCAAGAGCTTCTGCATCTTGATTCTCCTTTGGACTGGGTCGGTTTCCTCCTCGACGTTCAGGTTCGTGTCGAGCACCTCTCTTATCTTCCTCCTCATTTCCTTCCTCTCATCCTCACTCATGAGTGATGGGCCATCCTCGTCTTCATCCTCGTCGCTCTCGTCACTCTCTGTCTTGGCGGAGTTCCATCTACGTGCATCTTCCTCGTCTCTCCCATCGCCAAGTACTAGCTCGACCGCTTTAGAAGCTCTTGCCTTCAGTTTGCATGCACAAGTGTACGAGAAAGTTGGTTGCTTGGGTAACGTGATCATGGCAGAGAAAGAGCTGAGGATTCTACAGTTACCGTTGTACAAGGCTTGGCGAAACAGAGACCGACAGAAACTAGTGAAGGTGAGCCCAAGCGCGCGTGTCTCATCTGGCGTCGGGCAGGCGAACGAGCGCAAAGAGGAGGAAGACAAAGACGGGTTGCTTCTCTTGGAACTTGTGTAGAACACCTGAAGAGCAACAAGCAGTGCGGTGCCGCCATGACCTAACAACACCGAGATTGCAGCAGAGATCGCAGCAATTCGAGTTGGTGTCTGTGGTCTTTGTTCTTGGGGACGATAACCGTGAGAAGTAGTGATCTTGCAGTGGAGGCGGAAGGGAAGGAAGGCGACGGCGTCGAACACGAAGCCCAGCTTGTCTTCGCGGACAGAGGAACCGAAGCGGGGATGGCCTCCACATAAATCCAACGCTATCTATTACTAGTGGCGGGGCTCATGAGATACACGCCGACACAGGAAACACGGTTCCCTCGCGAAAGTGGCGGGCCCACTTGTACCTTGGGTGGCCCCTTTCCCAACTCCCTGTATAGGCGAACACAGGAGATCTTGTCCCAGGATTTTTTTTTCTTTTTTCATTAAGTTCCCTCTCACAGAAAATATAGAACTCACATTAACTATTGTAAATCCAACATTAGTTTGTGTAATGTGTAATGTGTACTGTGTGCTGTTGCATAATCGATAAGTTTATATATGTGTTGGTAGAAAAAAAATATAGTTGATATCTTCACTAGCACAATATAATCATAATCCATATGCGAGAAGCCATTACACACGACTTCTCCAAACTCGTTATCCGCACAAAGATCAAGGTTGGGGGTGGCTTTTTTGATTCTTCTAACTCTTTAATTACTACTGAGGTTCTTTTTTTCTTCTCTCTTTATTAATCTAGAGTTAAGAGTGTATTTTTATACTAACCTTAAGGAGAAGGAATATCCCATAAAGATTTTACGGGGAAGGAAGTTCGTAATCGACTCGAATTGCCCTTTGAATTTTTAAAATTTTTTGTACGAATATTTGATAGGGGAGTTAGTTCGTAACCTACTTAAGTTGCCTATGGACCTTCGAGAATATTCTTGTAAATTTTTTATGGGAGAGTTAGTTTGAAACTAATCTGAGCTACTCCATGGATTTCTGAAAATATTCTTATGAATATTTTGTAGGGGAGGCAGCTCGGCAACTCGGTGACTAATCAGAACTATTTGTAGGGGAGGCATTTTTACAACTTGGTAACTGACTCAAGCTATTTTTTAAATTCCTATCCATATGGGCAGAAGGGTGTTGGCCGACATTGATATGGTGAATGATGGCTAGTCAATTTTATATTTTCAATCACATGTAACAGTATTTTGTATATAATTTATTATGGGTAATGATAGATTACCCATTATAGTTAACCATGATTAACATTCTAATCCCTATATTTTAAAAAGTACTATTAGGATTCCTACACTTATAAAAATAAATATATTACCCTAATTCTTCTTAAGTCATTAATTTCATCATTATGAAAAATCACACATGTTATGAAGTGAAAAATGGCATAAATGAAAAAGATAAAAATATAATTTTATTTTTTTAAATTATTAAATTTATATAAATTTCTGATTTCCTCTTTCTCTCTTTTTCTAATATGCTCGCTCGTCGCATTTGCTCATCCATCGCACCCGCTACACTTGCTTGCCCGCTACTCGTCTACCACGAGAGTAAGTGTAGCAAGTAATCAGATGCGATAGACGAACAAGTTGGAAAGAGAAAGGAGAAAGAAATTAATTAGAAGTTTATATAAAATTAATAAATTTAAAAATAATAAAATTATATTTTTATCCTTTCTATTCATGTTCTTTTTGCATGTTACAATCGATGAAATTAATAACGTAAAAAAAATTAAGATTAAATATTTTACTCTTGTAAATGTAATGATCTCAATGTTACTTTTTCAAGTATAGAGATCTAGATGTTAATCATAATTAATTAAAAAAAATATATAATTATCTTAATTTATATATATATTAGATTACAAAATTGTGTTGGATTGCAGCCTAGGTGGAGATCTATTCGCAATCTAAACTAAAAGGTCTCCTTTGTACGCTCTTGGGCTCGGTCAGCATGACCAGGTCATTATAACGAGGAACTCCTCTTCTCTAATCCACCGTGATTTCGTCGAACACTGGAGAGACGTTCCCTTCCTCGGTAAATGGAGCAGTCCCTGCGTCCTCGGCAATGGCATCTACTGCTTGTCAAGAAGGTTGATGGTATAAGTGCCTTGTCCACTTCTGAAGGGAGGATGAGAACGTGGAGGAGGGATGCAGTGGCCGCTGCTGCTCACAAGAAACTCCATCAGAGATAATGTTACAGACTCGTGAGTTGATGTCTCGAAGCCGATGGCTTGCTTGTTTACGTTTAATGTTGAAGATGCTATTTATTGTATCAATGATAATTTAATTTACATCCACAATAAATTTTCGAGAGCAATCCAGAAAGCACGAGATGTTTGACCCATATTTTCTTTGTGATAATCTATTGTTCTTTACCAACAAAAAGTTGACACATATTTGTCTTTGTGAATGACTAAATCAACAGCTTGAGGTAGAAGAAGGTGGAAGAATGGCGATGGGAGGATGTCATAGCTGTTGTATGCGGAGGAACCTTAATTGAATAAGATGGGATGTGTCCCATCCCCAATCTTAATTTCCATGTCATAACTTACTTGAGACAGATCAAGTCGGCTAGCTTTGCATTTAATTTCCAGATCTTGAATCGTACCAAGAAACGTGTCTATTACTCGATTATTTATCATCAAGAGGATTGATTAATGTGTTGTTCATGTAGCAGCGTTGGTGTGTGTTCAATACAGAGAAAAGAGATCATCTTGGGTTTGTACTCGAAGCAAGGAACCAGGATATCAGAAGACAATAGAAAATGAGATATGTTAGAGAAGACAAGATCTTCAAAGTGTGATCTCTTGGATTAAAGTCAGCCTTGCATGGGAAAACCAGATCTGTGCAAAGCTCATCAAGTGCAGAAAGCCACAAAATTCTCCAAGAGCACAGAATTTTAAGCAACCCCACACCAATCTGCAGGAGGAAGTCCAAACTTGATTGCTTGGGATAGAATAAGGTGCAGTGTATCCAACGCATGGCTTATTTAGCTCAGGAAGACACCAAGCCCCATACCCACACCACCACCACCCAACAAAAGGCAACAGAGTCATGTTGAACGAGACAACCTCTTCCATATCATGATCGAAGTCCCCTTTTCCATCCTAGTGTCGAGAGATCATGAGAGGTAGCAATTGAACTCTCCTTCCTTTTTCTTTGGTCAAGCCACCCATGAACCCTGATCTCTATAGGATATGAAGCCCATGTTGTGTTTCTTTAACTCCTCTTTCTTGGTAAACGATAGATTTGCCACCTACTTTTGTTTCTTTTGCACATGGAGGAACCTTCAGTTCATGGCTTCGTCTGTTGACAGGCTCAAGGCTGAGATACTCGAGGCTTTCTTCCCAGATCGATCTCAGGCAAGTCCTTGGCGATCGAGAGCGAGAGGCTGTTGTTTCCTGGAGACTTAGATGAATCTTGACGTCTTGACGGGAAAGCTAGCTGTGGTATGGACAGAGGAGGTAGGAGACCGAGGCGGTTGCGCTCACAAGTGAATGGCTCCAAGGCATTGGATTCGAGCTACTTCACTGCGGAATTCTTCTTGGTGCTCGTCTGCCTCACTGCCTCACTGCTGGTTCTTCCCCTCGTCTTGCCCGCACTGCCTCCTCCCCCTTCCTCGCTGCTGTTTGTGCCGATAGGTATACTTCTTGTGCTGCTGGTCTTGGCCTTCATGCCGTCCGATGCTGGGGACATCGCCTCTTCCCACTTGTGAGCAGCTAAAAGCTTTCCATTATGGATCAAACTGTTCATTTCTTCTTCTACTCCTCGGTTTCAATGAAGGCACTATCGCTTCCGGTGGTTGTTTGAGATAGTTCATTCCTGAATCATTCGGATGTGGTTTGGCCATGAGTTGTAATCTAAGCTAACCATAACATTCTTGTGAGGCATGCGCAATCAAAGTGACAAATTCTGAGAGAACTCATCAGCAAATCTTACCGTGATGTGATGATTGATGTTCATGGCCACTTAAAAATAAGCTCTAAAATTTATTCTTCACCATGTCTCAGTCAAATGTTCATTGTAAAGCAGCCAGTGACTCGGTTGAACATACCAGTTAGAGGTAGTCATTCGTAGCTATTCTGGATTGTAAGTTTCTTGGAAACTGCCTATACTAGTAAAATACTTGAAGCTTTGTGAGTATGCATGTATCTTATGTGGAGATTCTCCGTCGTGTGCGTATCACATATGCTCGAACACATGGGAGCAGGTAGGTGTTCTTGCATCACGTTCGGTCAAAAGTGTTCTGTGTTGCAAGAATGACACCTTTTAATGGAATTTTAATTTTCATTCAGCAATCACGTAAGATATTACGACGTGAGTTCAAACCCTCAACCCGAGGGAAAAGAAACAAGTGAGGTTGAAATCTGCAGCACGGCCGACAGGGTGTGTTGCATCAAAAATATACGAGTACCTTACAAGGAAAAAAAAATCATCTTAATTTTAGTCAACACAACCAAAAATATGTTCTGGAGGCAGCAAAAGCCTGTCCACTGTTGTTCTTTTTAATTGAAATACAAGCAGAATTAACCTGCTGCAACATTCATGAATTCCAGTCCAACACAGGATTATAGAAGATTTGGATGATTGACAAAAATGTTAAATTCAAGGCATATGAAAGACAAATTTGATAAATATATGATGGTCGATGTGTTAAGTGTTCAAAATTAACAGTTCCGACCAATAATGACAATGCCAAAAAGGTGAGATAATGACACAATATATAGTGGTAACTCCAGAGAAAATCAAATCAGTTTAGTAATCGACAACTAGTAATACATTATCTGACAAAATAGTTGTGAAACTGCATTCTTGGTAGACTTCGAAGAAGAATTACGTCTCCTCATCATCGCTATCACTGCCAAAGATTGAGGATACTTTCACACCAATCTTTGGCTTCTTGCTGATGCCACCAGCTGAAGCCTTCTGAATACCAAAAGAACAGTGATGAACAATTAAGTATGTCAGTGAGTAACACATTGAACAATCAGTAAAGTATAAGATAATAAGATCCAAGACATAATTACTTAATTTATGCATACATCATCACTGTGAAAACAGAGTAACTATATCCTATCAGTTGAATCACATAGCCACTCATGTCATCATTTCTACTGACTTATGCCTTTTTTTGTTGATGTGATGATATAGAAGACTAGATTTTGATATTTGTTAAGGCCTATAAGTGTTTTAAGCACATATATAACCAGATATTTACCATGTAAAAAACTCTTCCTGATGAGCTTAAGTTCCCAACAAGCAAAGAAAGACAACATAAGATGTAGATGGAAAATTTACTAGAATGAAGATCCCTGAGTAATTATCTATGGGCTTTATGCCCATGCAAAAAGGAAGCAACCTTGACAAATCATTTTAATTTGGAAGATTCTAATAACAGAAAGAAGACAAGGTACATTTGTATTTCCACAGTCACATTTTGTGATTTGTGCATATGCACATGAGATTAGCATAAATAATTTGAATTAAAATATTTAGTATTAAAAAAAGAAAAAGGCTTATGTAGATAATTTCATTAAAACCTTCTGGAATGCATCCTCCAAATCTATAGAAAAAGAATGAGGAAATCCACATCCTTATATATGACAGCCAAGAATTTTCCTAGCTATTAGGTGGCAACTTCTACGAATCCTCATTAAGTAAAATAAATGCCTATGAGAACAAGAAGAGGATCATATTAAGGACTTCAAATTTGATTTGACAAGCCAAACACAAATACATATTCCATGTGCTAGAATTCAGTGAGCTGCCGAAAGAAACTCAGCCTTGAGATGAAATGACTTTAAAAAACCCAATATCAATACTCTCATTTCTGCATGAGGAGTGATAAACTAAAAACAACCAAATTATCTTATTCACATCAAACGAGATCACCAACCAGTGCTGAACATTTTGCATTGTTGACAATGCAAATCTTAATTTATTTTACAACAAATCTTGATTTATTATGGAACTTCAATGTGGAACATCTTTATGTGATAATCTAAAATATAAACTTATAACCTAGTGTACCTTGCCTCCTAATATAAAAAAGCGTTCTTGTCATAATCAGATTTCAAATACACTTCCCAATGGATAGGGAAAATGTTAACTAAAAGTACTAAAATTTTGGTATATGCTTAAACTGACTAAATGCAATTATTAGCAGCTTACTGTGATAAGATTGGTATTTTTGATCATTTTATGACCACATGCATGCTGTATTATTTGGATTATTATAAATTTGGGTGATTGAAAATCATACCAAATACTCCAGAGTACAGATTTCAGCATATAAGAAAACAAAAGGCAAGTGAAACTGCTAGGTGCAACAATATGGCAATTTATTTCAACGGGGTACAATTTCAGGTGAAATATGACTCGGACATTCAAATATACTCAAATTTAGTAGGAATATTTATTTATTTATTCACATGGAATTTGTTTTTGCATAACAATCATATATAAAACATAACCTTAATAAGTAACCTAGAATCCTACTTCACTGACCTTTGAGGGACCAATTTTAGAGAAGCCGAATTTCAGAGCCTGCCGCTGATCCTGATTTAGAACTTTTGCGGAAGTCCTAGCCGCACCAGCATCTGAAGAGATTTCAGACCCTTCTTGCTGTTGTTGTTGTTGCTGTTGCCGTTGCTTGTGAGCATCTGCCCTGAAACAGCAAAAACAAATATGTAGAACAATTTTGAACACTGTAAGCTCACAAATAAGATTTATTTTTTCCTTTAATATTTTGTAGGAAAGTTAAGAATACATTTGTGCAAACTTTGCCATTTCCTTCTCTTGACGTAGTTGTTCCCGTTTCTGTCTGTCATCGCGGCTGCTACTTCCATGCATTTCTTTCATTTCTTTAAATCTCTGCACATTTATGCAGTTGCCAGAATGAGCTTGATAACAAATTGCTTTTATCAACAGTTCTCAAGATCTATTGACACTGTTATCAGGCCTCGTGCCGGAAGTAGTAATCAGAATAAATTATATTACTACTTGGAGAATAAAGTTTAGAACCACCAAAAAAAAAAAGTGCATTCAAATGTTCAAGCATAGTGAGATAACTGATCATTTACATGGTCACCATAAGCCAAGATGTCAGTGCAGATTGATGCCAACTACTATAGTCCTTTTTGTACTACTAATGCATGTGGCTTCATTTCTAAAGACAAAATCATTTGGCATTCTTATTATCCATAGTTTGAGAGAATGGTACCATGAAGGCATGAACCAATTATCTTCATCAGTATATCAGGAACTGTTAAATGTTTATCCCTCAGGAGTTAGACATCTCTTGCAGACTATAGGATGATTTACTTTATGAAGGATTGAGAAGCCTATGAAATTAGTAAAGCCTGTAGAATGTGGATAAAAGTATGTTGTCTTGTTTGAGGGAGAAGGTAATATGTAAATTCATCAAAGAAAACAACAATCTTAGCTGCATGTAGATGAAATAAAACAAACCATGAGAAGAATAAAACAAGGTGGTTACCTTTCTGTGATTGTGGTCATAAGAGCTAAGATGACTTTCGAATTCCATTGCCAATTTGTATTGCTTGTTGCAGAGATTACAATAGAAGGCCTTTTTTATTTCTTTCACCTCAGACTGGATTTTCTGCTCACGCTCTGCTATCACCTGGATTGTCATCATTTGCACGAAGCAGGCAGAAGAAGCCACCAGGTAATAAAAAGTGCACGAAATTCTCAATACCCTCGAGAGTTGATGCTCCCTTATGATATATCATTCCCGTCAAAAAGACATACATGCGATTATATGCTGCCTTCTACTATAATGCAGTTTTTACAACGTCAAGCATCAACCCCAATGCATCTAATAGTTGAAACATGACAATCAGTTAAGTGCTAGCATCTACAATCATACCTCACGCTTCTTTATATTTTCCTCAGTCTCTTCTAATTCAATGTCAAGCTTCCTCCTCTGAACATTTCCTTCAGAAGTGAAAAAGTCATCTTCTTCTTGCTTCCCCACCCCCAGTTTTGGATCCCTAATACCAGCTTTTATGGGCTCAACTATGCCTGCATATCCTCATTGAACAAGACAGAGTCAATAAACTAAAATAAAAACTGTGGTAGACTAAATCAAAGACATCAATGCAAAACAAAAATAACTATCCAAACTACCACTAGACTAGAATTGTTATAGTCCTGTGTGAGACACACTCCAGTATTTCATAATATCACTAATTTTCATGTTGTGATCATTGCTGATTAAACAACATCAGCATGCACCTTTCAGTAGTATGTTATTAATGCCTGTACAGGAACATTCTTTTCTTTCCATTGGACCAAGTAGTTGGAGTATATTTCACTAAAGTAAAAAATAATTAGCAAGAGTACAATGGTAGGTGATAGTCAGCAAATATTAGCACATATAATAAGTCTGAAGCACAAGTCAAAATTTCAAATTTCAGCTGGAATACAACATAAAACTGTTTTTTTTGGCAGAAAAATTGTTCCATTTACCAAACGAACCACAGGTCCATCAGGTCCTATTCCTTTTTTAGCACCTAAGTTTATCTGATTTAGATCAGAGAATTAAATGTAGGCTCAAGCACTGGAAGTAAATAGAAGGTAAATGGAATGGTTAAGAAGAGATCAACAGGCTGAAGGTTTTTTTTTTTCCTTTTTGAAAACAGAGTCCTAACAGGATGGGGAACAAAGTACAAATTCGAAAACACCAACGCACCAGCTGTCCTAAAGATCTTAGTTTTATTTATAGAAAACAAAAAGAAGACATGTAAAGAACATAGAAAATAAGACCACATACCCTGTATTTCCTTCCATTATTATTTTATTTCAAAATTTCATCTTGCCTTGTTTGCTAAGTATCCCATTCTTTACTATTTTCTCCTTGCATAAAATTCTCATGCTTAGTGGTCATATTCCAATCCATGATTACACTCTCCAGATATATACATAGAGATTTACCAAAAGAAAAACTCAATCATATTCACACAGTCACAAGGACATTGACTTTGGTTACACAAGAAGCATCAAACATCAAACAGTATTTGTAAAAAAAAAAGCACGATATGATTGGATTCTGAAGTTATTAATACAAATTTGGAGAATACCTTGCTCATTTTTGCCAAGACCCTTGCCTTTCCATCCCATTTTCTGCAGAAGCCTAAACCCTACATTAGATGATGTCAGTTGTTTATCCAAAGATGCTTGCTCCAGTTCATCAGTATCAAGGTTTTCTGTGGGTCTGTGATATATTGGCAAACGGAAATCTTCTGCTGAATCCTCGGCCAAGGAATTAGGCTGTGCCATATCCTAGGGAGAAATGGCATTTGATTATATTCAAAGAAATTCAACCATATGGAAGAAATAAAAAAAATATAATATGAACTTCAGTTTATGTTTATATCTGGTCTGTATATAATATATATATATATATATATATATATATATATATATATATATATATATAGAGAGAGAGAGAGAGAGAGAGAGAGAGAGAGATTATTAATGAATAATCTAAATCAAATGTTCCAACTATACCGGTAAACCCAAGCAACCAAACCACTAGTGAGGAAAAAGAAATATGCAGATATAGAATACTTACTGAAATTAATTGCACAACAAGACAGATAAAATATATTAGGCTACCATGGAACCGAGGCCTATAAAGTATGATATAGAAAAATATAATCTAATTACATAAGTATAAAAGGGCAAATAATGCTAACCTCTTCCCGTGCTCCGTGTTTATTTTGAAAGAGTGACTCTTGCCTGCCATCATACTTTTCACCTTCCATTATGAGGCACCTAATATACTGTTAATAATTCATATTGATCAAATTTTTACTCCAAGAAAACTAGAAAATACACACAAAAGACAAAGATAAGGACAGAATCATCATTATATATGTGCACAAACACAAATAAGGGATAGAATATAAACAACATAAAGATCAATTATTGTCAGCACATGAATGGATTAAAATGATGGTACCAGAGGTGATAATTCAAGTGGGTTGGGACAAATTAGTTAAGATGTTTTGGAAAAGTCAGCAACCTAAACCAGATCCATTTATGATCAAGTTAGGAGATCTCAATCAACATCCAACTAAATGGGGTTTGGTTTGATCAACTATGAAAAATAAATAACACATCAAAAGTACAACATAAAGCCAACAGATATGCAGATCTGGTATCAATGATGAGGAAAATAAAGCCCACCATCATTACAAATATATCTAGGCTCTAAATTTATACAAATTACTTGTCAAGTAGGCATGGTGGAGAGAAATCAATTTTTGCAACACTGAAAATTCCATAGCAGAGTAAGAATAAATAGACCTTTAAATATAAAACCCTGATTCCAACACTTAACTCTCCATACTTTCTGTTTGTCAATTATAACATTAAATCAAGCTTTCTCTCAGTTGTTTTTTCCTCAGAGCATAATCAGGAAATATTTTATTATAGAAATTGTTGACCTGTAATCAATATTTTTTTTAGACTAACTCAGATCACATGGAAAACAACAATGGTCTGCTATTCATTATTGTCCACGGGTGGTGGCAGGCCTTGACCACTTCCTGATATAAGAAATAACAGGATAACCAATGGTTATGCAACCATTACTGATACAAGATAACCATAACTTCCTGATATATATCCAATGGTTATGCAACCAGGCATAACCAGGACCTCACTCTTACGACCATTACTTTCAGGTCAAAAATATCAATATCAATCATTCTCTTCAGTTCGTTTACAGATGCAACTATTATTAAACATTAGTGAAACTTCAAACATTAACGTTAAAGATAAATTTAAATCAAGGCGAACGAAAACGAATTTAGCTTATCAAGCTGCATAGGATCCAAATTTTAGGCTTAGTTTAGGTTTCATCAGTTATGTAACAAGCCAAACCTTATCATTTATCTAGGCTTGAAATAAATTTCATGACTAGCTTGAGAACGTGTAACCTAAGCTCAACAGATTACACCTTTATCTAGGTTATCACAAACACTAAATTTAACAGAAGAATTACGCAAGATCTGGATCATGAGGAAAAATTACAAGAACGATGAATTCCCTCAACCTAAGAAACTTTCAAAGACAACACCATTACAACGAAAAACATCAAGGACACGATTTATATTCATCTTAAACTGATAAACAAACCAAACATCTAAAGGCATAACAAGATTCCTGACATGAAACTTTAAATTCAAGAATTAGTAAGATTACACCAGTCTCGTCGTTTTTGTTATTATCAGACATATCCGATCCAAGGTGGCTATCGAATGAAATAAAAATAAGAAGAAACAAAAAAAAAGATCAAATCGGATCTCCAGCCAACCCTATTAAAAGAGGGACAGGATTCTCATAGACTAATTACACAGACGGGAATCAGATCAGGGAAATAAAACCTGCTTTCGAAGATGATAGGAGAGCTTCGATGAGAACACGACGAAGCAGGGATCTGAGCCGAGGAGGACGAGATGATTAAGCTAGGGTTAGGTTTTAGGTCGGGATACGGAGAAGACCAAACGACGCTGGGGCGGTGAATTCGGGGACGGTAACGTTAACAATAATAATACTAGGGCATGTACAAGAGGGACATATATGTAATTTCATCATATTCCAGTAAGCTTACGACACTGTTCAACTCGGAGAAGAAACTTGAGACTATAAAGCACGCTAATTCCGAAAACACTCCGCTTCACTTCAACGAGCAATTCCTCATCCGCTCGAACTCCGCCGAAAACCCTAATTCCTCACTTGACGAATCCAAAACCCTAACTCCCCAATGTCTTCTCTTTCTTTCCCCCTCCCTCTCTCGAGTTCTTTTTCTTGTAAGCAGCCGCTCCGATTCGAGATTTCCTCTCGGGTTTTCTTCCAAGTGCGTGGCAAGTGGCCGGAGGCGAGGTGGCACGCGTTGCTTGCACATCCGAGGAAATCTTACGTGACTTCGGAAACCGCTTTACCGGCATGATCACGGTCCGCTGCCGCTCACGTTCGGTTCTTGTAGTTCCCATTGTTTTGTGTTGATATCGGTTTGCTTACCTTGATCTTGTTGGTTTCTGATATGCTTTGTTCTTTCCTTATAACGTGTTGGTGGTGTTGCAATGTCGGGAAGTTCTACCGACGATGTGATCCAGGTGACTTGCCTCTTTCTTGGGTATGTTTCGTGGGGTGATAGGGTGATGATGTTTCAGTTTATTGGTTACAGGATTTCTGCCGCTGTTGGTGCTGCGCTGACAATTATCCTCTTTGTGAAATGAGTAAATTTTTGGAGGTTGTTTACGTTTTTGGGGATTAATCTGATGTTTTTGTATTGGTTTCGTTTATTTAATGAAATCTCCCGAAAATTTTGATGACAATTTCTTTCTACTGAACAAAAACACTTGGGATTATTTAATACTGAAGATTTTAGTCAGAAAGAACATTACAATCTATGATTCAAACTTTTTTGGTTAGAAAACACATGCTAGGAGTTTGCATGTTCTGTTTTGATTTGCTTGGTATCCATAAACTATTATAATATCTTGCCGTTAATCTCTCTTTTATGTTCTTTTTCCATTGCCAAAGAAGCTCAGAATTATGTTATGAGGGTTAACATGAGTAAAAATGTGATCTTTGGTTTAATACCACTTGACATATTCAATTCAAGAAACTTTATAGCATTCTTTAAGTTTTCAAATGCATACCTGTTTCGAATCATCAGGCATCCAAATGCCTGATGGTACTGCTGTTAGAGAAGAATCATCAGGCTTCCAGTTCCCTAGCATTCAAAATGTTCTACCTTTCTCCAAGTTTGATCATTCATTTTTGGATTGTTTTAGGCAAAGATTGTGACGGTAATTGGCTGAAGTTCTGTTCACTTGAAGACAAGACTGGTGTTTCCTTGATACTAGTAATCTGGTTTATAGCACTTGCAAGACCCATTGCCAAAAAGTATCAGTCCCGAGTCCTGACATGTTTACCTTGCAGCAATTTGACACTACTGGAGGCGGCTATATAATATGCTCAGCAATCTTCCCTATTATATATCAAGATCTAAATGAAATTGCCAAGAAGCGATCCAGAGAGAGGAACCCTGTCACCGGCAGAAGTAATACATTGAGCTCTAACGCCTGCATTAGTGCCCCCAGCTACTCCCCCTTTTTTTTTGCTTTAATTCTTTTATGTTTATAACAATAATCAACCATCTCTTGCCTTTGTGCCTCTGAACAGTCAAGATATGCAGGCCCTTAGAAGTCATTAAAGATGCCTCCTTCCTAAGAGGATGTTAATAGCAGGGAAGATGATGAGCAAAGAGTATGCAGATATGCAAGCCTGAGGTATGCCTTGAGCTTCTGGACCTTTTTTTTGTCATTTAATATGCTGTTGATTAGTGTCATATTTTTCCAGTTTGAATGCATATTTGTATTAAGTCATCTTTTATCTGACAGGTATACTCTTATTTGGATGTTAGAAGGAAATGTTAAAGTTCAACATCTAACACCAATAATCTGAATGGACTTCTGCAATTGCATACAAATCAAGGCAAAAAGAAAGCAGTAACATCCTGAAGTCTGCAATGTTACACTCGATATCAAGAATCACAAGGCTCACACGAGGCACGATGGAAGGAGATGATTGGGAGAGATATACCATTCTCTATATGAGGTGGCTGGAGACCTGATGGAGTGATGAGTCGAAGGAGATGAGTGTACACCAAATAGGAATACTGAAAGTAAGCAGGGGGGATGATCCTTTTGGCTAGCTTTCTTCCGGTTGAATTTATTGATTGGGACGAAGAAAGGAATGGGAAAAGAGGGGCAAACTTCTGATGATATCAGATAAGTAGGGATCTTCTCGTCTTCCTGGGGTGAGTCAAGCTCACTTGTCATGGTGTTCCTCCTTTTGCTGGTCCTCTTACTCAAGACAATGTGTAAGCAAAAAACTGATAAGACCCTAAAGTCTTATCGTCACTCTGATACCGATTGATAAGACCCTAAAGTCTTATCGTGGAAGAAAGGGGAGAAAAGGGAATGATAATGATCGTTTCGAGGGGATCGGCCCTCCTTGATCACTTCGAGGGGATCGGTCCTCTTTGATCACTTCGAGGGGATCGACCTCCTAGGGTTTATCCACAGAGTGGAATAACATTTCATTGATTGATTGATTGATTTAAAGAAAGGGTTACATCGCTATTTATAGAGTTCCACCTAGAGTCCACCAAGATTTGAACTCTTAATAATAAATAAATATTAAATAAATCTCTACCTGACTCTAATTAAACTAATAAATAACTGAACTAAACAAACTCAATAAACATTATTCAAAAGCTCAGAAAAAGGGTCTTAATAGTTCCTCCCTCTTCAAATCAGCTTTGTCCTCAAGGCTGAGCAGCATTAATCTCGGGAAGCTTCTCATTCAACACTTTAGTTATAGACTATCTGCAACGCATCACAACCCGTTGATCAAGTAAGTATGATATCCACTTTTTGATAGTGTAAGCAACAGGTCGGTCTTTCAGTGTAGTAATCGTTGCAAGAAACTTTTGGCCTTGTATAATCAATTTTATCTTTGTATCTTTGCTATCACGAGTGAAAATTCATCCATCAACGATTTTTACTTCGAATCTGTCATAGTCTTCAATGTGGTGGGCCAATCGGTCAACAGTCTCACTGTCCATAAAATTGTTAGTGCTACCAGTATCAATCAAAACTATAATAGGTTGATGCTCCAGAGTTTCGCCAACTTCCATAGTTTGCTGGTTAGAGTAGTTGGCTAATGTATGTATTGTATGTATGGTAGGTTCAACATCTTCATTAGAATTTATACCTTCATGATCGGAGTCCACATTCTTAGCTTTCGGCTCCCCTCTAATTGGTTCAACATCTTCATTAGGGTTGCGGCTGGGAGGCGGGCGGCAGTGATGGAGCAGTCGGGAAGCAACAACGACGGTGGGGAAGAAGTTGCCTTGCAGCGGCGGTTGAGAAGGGGAGCGGGGCTACGGTAGGATGAGACGCTGGCAGCGTCGTCTCCTAGCAACGATGGTGACTCGAGTGGGAGGCGACGGCCACGGTGGACTCTGGTCGGAAGCGGGGCAGGGTAGATCGTTGGTCGGAGAGCAGCGACGACCGGCGATGGGCTAGCCGCAAGCAAGGGAAGCAAGGGTGCGTGGCTTCGACTTCTCTCTCTTCTTTCTCTTATTTCTTTCTTTCTTCCCTTTTTTTTTTTTTTGAGATGATGAACTACAACGAGAACGTTGAGGATCGCTACTCTGATACCAATTGATAAGACCCTAAAGTCTTATCGTCGCTCTGATACCAATTGATAAGATCCTAAAGTCTTATTATGGAAGAAAGTGGAGAAAAGGAAATGATAATGATCGCTTTGAGGGGATCGACCTCCTTGATCGCTTTGAGGGGATCGACCTCCTTGATCGCTTCGAGGGGATCGACTCTCCTTGATCACTTCGAGGGGATCGACCTCCTAAGGTTTGTCCATAGAGTGGAATAACATTTCATTGATTGATTGATTCAAAGAAAGGGTTACATCACTATTTATAGAGTTCTACCTAGAGTCCATCGAGACTTGGACTCTTAATAATAAATAAATATTAAATAAATCTCTATTTGACTCTAACTGAACTCAATAAACAACTCTCTATTTGACTGTAACTGAACTCAATAAACAACTGAACTAAACAGACTCAATAAACATTATTCAAAAGCTCAGAAAAAAGGTCCTAACAAAAACGTAAGATTCAGGTGGGATGCTGTTTTGATCGGTCTTTCAATGTTTAAGCAAAAAACCTAAGATTCATGCGGATTCTGTTTTGATCAGAGCTTCAATTGAATAGTGAAGGGTGGGGTAGTTTTGTATTTGCCAATTTATCTTCTTTAGAAGGTTGTATCGAAACACTATATAATAACATCAGATGTCAAAGAAAATTTCAGCAGATTAAATGCATAACCTTTTTCCCTTAGAAAATGGTCCAAGGTTTATGCTAAATATGCTGTTTAAACTATGGATTTTTCCCCTGTTATTCCTATGGCTTTCTTGATAGATCATGAGCTTGAAATAGAATAAATGAGTCCTGTACTATGTTTGTAGTCTAGGATGATGAACCCTATTGTAAATGATACAGATAGACGTGGATGTGTGAGAAGGCTTGCTTGTGGAATGATTGCTGCAAGTGAGAGGCAACATGTGATATTGAACAGTTAACATACATATACATATTAAGTGGTATGAACAAATCCGATAGCATTAAGGATCAAAAATGATAAATGATGATCAACATCCAGAATTTTTCAGACAATATCAAATGCTACTAATTAAATTATACCTTCAAGATCGAAACTATCAGACAGCTGCATTTGCTGTGGCATACGTGAAAATCAAGTGAATTGGATCTAAAACGAAAAATATGACGAAATTGAAGTAACTCCAAGATTCACATAATTGCAGGACGCATTTTAGAAGACAAAATGATGGTACATTCTTTGTGAACGCCAAAGACAATGGCATGCATACAACAGAGCAGGTTCTGATATCAGCTGAATTCCATATCAAACTGAGACCTACGACAACTTCGACCTTCATACACACTGAATTCATGAAAATGAATAATTACGATGATATCTTCTAAACAAGTGCAAATGCTCTGGCTAATAGTGGTGAAATACTACAAACTATACCTCAAGTGCTGGTGCAAATATATGCAACTCCTGAAGAAAGCATCACACTAACATAACTCACAACCCTGTGATCATCATGAAATAGTTTACTCCAATAACATGACCTCAGCCGCAATAGTGCACAAAGTTGCATGGTCATGCTTCCTAATCTCGAAGACCAAGTTCGAGCTCCAGCTCGTCGTCCTCTTCAAACAGTCTCAGGAGACGAGCATGTTGCTCTTCCCTCTTCTTTTTCTGCCAAAGCTTGAAAAGAAAAACCGACACAAGCACAGTTCCTGCAATTGCCAAGCATATGAAAAATACTTCACGGCTCATGTTGCTAGCAGACTTAGAAGGGTTAGCCTCTGCCTTGGCTGCATCATTTGAACTTGATGGATCGTCAGCCAGAACTACAACAAAAGAGAAGTCTACTCACATGCATGAACAACTAGATTAAGATAGAAAAGAGGAAGTACAAGACACTCGAAATGACAAAAGAGAAACTAAGATGAAAATTCAGATCATAAGTATCACTGAACAAAAGCATCTAAAATGTTCTTAGTAAAATAGAATTATTGGGCACAAGTTAATTTCTCTTGGGCACACCATGTGCCAACATTACATGTCTTGCTGGCACATTATAAATTAAAGTATGTGGTGTCCATCACAAGTTAACAGATTGCAGAATTGTGTGATAGTACTTCCTGACCATTATGGACCATTGTTTTAGCATAGTATGACCTGGCCATCATGCATCAAAATTCACAGAGACAAGAAATGTGGTCTAAATAAGGGATTAAAATTGTCGGTGCAAACCGAGCATAACAATATAAGATATACTGAAGAACATCTAAGTAGACTTACTGACTGAAGCAGTCTGAACCTCAAGTTGCTAAATTGGAATCTATTCTGTGAGTTCTCCAATCTTATTTAATTTCCAAGTGATTTAGTATTATTCTATATAGAAAATCCTGGATCACCAAAAACAAATTTCATATGTTACATTTTAGACACTGTAACCATCTCAAATCCTCCAGATCATGAAGGTCTAAGCAATGGTGGTAACAAGGTTAATTTAAACATAGTTATCGACATTAGCTTTTCGGACCAAACAATAATCCAGTATCAACACTAGCAGATCTCAGTCTATCTAGTGACAACTGACAAGGGCATTTAAATCAATAGGACAACTAGAAGAATCCCATGGCTGGAAGAACAATTGGCAAGATACCCATTCCTCCGACATAAGATGAAGGTTGGAAAAAAAAAATGTCGAAAAGAAAGAACCAATATTTTTTTAATAAGAAAACTAATATTTGATGACAAGTGCTGCAACCAATTAAGACATGTTACAACAAACATGGGTTTTATAGTTTCAGCCTTAATCCCGTCAGATCATTACTGACAATTTGTTTAAGGTAGAACTCAGATTTTCCTATATAGAGTGACAAAAAATCTTCGGTCCCAACATTTGTTTTCATGTTTGCACGAAAGAAAGACAAGCAAGTTCGGTTCAGAACGAAGTTCCTTGTAGTCCGGATCAGAATTCTAACCATTTGATTTCCAACTAGAACCCAAAATCGACATGAAACTTCTTTTCTCTGAAGAGTTAATTCCTAGTTTCAATTTTATGAAGACAGACAAAAACCTGCCAAACTGACCCCTGCAAAATTCTGTAAAAGTTTTTTTTTTTCCCCAATAACTCGAATGATGTCTGAGAACGACACACAATTTGCCTATTTCTAGCGGCATCCTGCAAACAACTTGCTAATTTCTGGAACAACTCAATTGTTTCCATAACAAACATCATTCTTAACTACGAATAAGATTAAATCAACCAGGCAAGTGGAGCAGAAGATAAAAAGAAGTGATTCGATTCAAACAACACCTTCAAAAAACGTAGGACATTGTGATTCAGAAGTAACGAAGAGCTAAAACCAAGAGTTGGGCGTGCCTCCTACGAGATCTCAAAATGAGATCTCAGATACCAATTCTGGATCAGGGATCAAGGAAAAGTGCGAACCTGCGGTCGATTGAAGAGATATCGCGACGATGAGGAGGAGTAGCTTCTTCGATCGCCCACCGATGTCTCCGCTCATCCCTCCTTTCTTCTCCGTTGCGACGCCAGTGGTGTTCTCCTCCGCTCGTTCGTCGTGAAATCGAGATTTTAGGTGCTTTATGATTAACCAAAAACATAAAAAGAAATGCTTTATATAAAGCAAGGCTATTAATAAATCGATCCGACCCGATTTGATATGAGATCCATTACGATAGAATCCGATATGGAACGAAGTCTGACCCATTGACTCAACCCCATCTAATTATAAACGGAATTGGACGCTAATGTTGACCCAATCTGGGCAAGACACGTAGAACTTTAATTTTTTGTATCGATTCTGATCCGATCCGATTCGAGTTGTTTCCGGGAGAGATTGAGGTCAAGTTGATCCGATAAGGGAGAGATCCGATCCAAAATATAATTAAATATATTATATATTGAAACACTGATCTATTTTTGCATTATCCCTAAATCTGTCAGTATTTCATAAAAGTACAGTTTGTTCATTTTGTAATTATATAAAAGGGTTCTCAAATCTCTGGATTTTTGCATGTTAGTCCTTTTAGTGGATGACGGAATAAGGCTTTAGGAAGTTTGTAACAATAATAAAATTTCAAGGACTTGTTCAGAAAGTTCGAGAGGCTTGAGGAGCTATACGTACCCGCTCCACCCTTTCTCGAGCGTGACCTCGATCTCCCTTTCTCTCCCTCTCTCTCGTAGAAGTGTGGTGGGAGACAACGACGCTGGCGAGCGCCGGTGGCAAATGACGGTGAGTGTTCGAGGCCAAACCTCCTCCTTCTCTATTTCTCTCTCTCCCCTCACACTTCCGTCTCTCTCAGTCACTCTGCTTCCCTGTTTCTCTCGGTCCCAGAGATCCGGTGCTCCGCGATCGTAATATCTTTCCTGAGCTCCTCCACAGCCCTCTCCTGGTCTCGCGAGAGAAGGCACTTGCTGCCGCCGTGTGAGGTGGAAGGCGAGGAAAGGCTTCGTTAAGGTTCGGTGAGCCGGATCCGATCGGATATCCGATTTCCGGTGGAGCAGATCTGGATTGTATTTATGGGCTTATTTTTAGATTACGTGACATAGATCTAATTAGATTCTAATTATGTTTATCTTTTTATAAAAAGAAAATTCAATTATGGTAGGATTCTCTGCGAGATAAATTGATGGAAGCAACTCTCTTAGACCTCTGCTTTTGTCTATATAAAACTTCTAGGGATCGTATCAAGATCTTTTCTCACCTCGATAGGTATTGAAAATACGAAGAGAGGAGAGTCTAACTTCTTTTCTGTGTAGATTCGCCGGCGCATGCAGATCACGATCGAGGTATCCTGTTGATTATCGTGTTCAAAAGATACGCAACATAATACAATACTTGATTTCAATCCCAGCATTAAATTTTGTATAATAGTTTTTATTTTACACCTATTCAGCCAAACTACCCCGTACCAGATTGTATCGCCACTCGATCTTCAACCTGGATCTCACAAATTAATCTACCTTTAACAATTGATAATTGAAAGTTAGGCTTTGAAATGTTAATGGCATTTGCAAAAACGTGAATTAAGAAGACTTTCTGCAGTATTTACTTGAATTGGTTAGGCATGGACATAGGAATCCATTTAATCGTATATAGATAGCCTACATGATCATTTGTTAAATATTGATTATTTTGACTCGCTGAGGAATACAAATACAATAGTCGATCTGTATAATATCTTTGTTTGGATTTGTAATTATTTTCCCAGTGGCTCTATTTATGTTCTTGTTGTAAGTGTAACAATCTGTATTGCATAGAATACTCAATCCTATACCCGTGAGTCATATAAATTTGTGTTTTGCAATTTTCTTGTTGCAAGGAACTTTCGTTGCCTAGATGGCGTGCTTCTGTTCATAAGTCTTTCTAACATAATATTTCCTTTTGAGTGTTACATGTGTTTTTCCAAATCTTTATAGGAACTTCATGGTGTTTTTGAAGCTTAGATTTCTCCTATCTCTTGCTATACATGTGATTCTTGTACTTGTTAAGGGCTCCTAGAATCTTTTTGTGTACGGAACAAAGAGGGAGACCAAATGTTAACATCTAGGTCATATTGTTACTTTGCAGGAAATTTGAACATAGCCATGAATTTTCTCATACGAGCTGCCCATCCTGTAGTTCCTGAGGTGTCCAATGTTGCAGAGACTGAGAATCACAAGGGTGTAACACCTATTTCAAGACAAACTTCTACTTTGGAGGGCCTTATTGCAGAAGACCCATTTCAAAGTCCTTCTACAGGGGATGATGCTGATACAGACAGTGATGTAATTACTGACGTAGGTAGCTCAACACCAGCTCCAACTTCCAAAAACCAAGGAAACCATACTGATGTATTAGAAGACGATGGTTGGATAACAATTCCATATAGTATGTCCACTTGCATATCTTATCACTTTTTCAAGCATCTTAAGAGTCATATATTTATCTCAATTCGCAGAGACATCCCTGGAACATGGATAAGCAAGTGTGTTGACCTAAATGTTGCTAATGTAAGCTGGTGTTATTAACTGTTACATCAATAATAATTGTGAAGCTTGAAACTGTTCCTGATTGTTTTTCTTATCAATTCAGTATTAGCTACCAAAACTTTCTATAACATTAGTTTACAAGCTCTAGGACTAGGAACCAAAAGATACTAAAACATGTTCTAGATGGTTAATCTGGTTGCAGTTTTCAGTTTCAAAAGTTTTTTCTTGTTTATCTTGGTTATAAACTTTTATTGAGTATGCTCATTCACATTGTTGAGACTGACCTTCATTATGTGTTATGTGATTTGGTTGTTGGTCACAGAAGAATATCGGATATAAGATTAAAGAACATAATTCTTTGGTTTTGATTTGCATATGCAAATAAGTCTTGAACTGTCTCTTTGGGCCCTCATGAAATTGGTTGATTTTTGTAGTCATTTGGAATGATACTTATCTAAAAGGTATAGACAGGTGCATCGTGCTATAGTTGTTGTTCACTTTTCCTTTTACCTTTTGCTTCGTTTTTGTATTCTTACCCATCAAACTTTGACATGATTAACCTTTATGTTTTCGTTAGAACTTATTTGTAATCCATTTGATGTTTTTATTGAACCATTTTGATCAAACATTGACGGAGTAGCGGAATATGATTTTAAAATGCATATATTGAAAAGTGAAGTTAAGGAATTCTGTGTATTCAATTCCATAAAGCTTGGTTCAATCAAGGCTTATCTGAATACAATGTTTATAATGCTTCATCGTTTTTAAATCTTAAAGCTGTTTTATTTCATTGTCCAATTGGTTTTACTTTTATGCTTACACTTGCAGAGGAGCTTCCAGACAATTGGACTGATGCAGCAGATATTCAACAGCTGAGGTCCTTGGACCGTTCATTCATTTTTCCTGGTAGCTACTTCTTTCTATTCTGAATTATTTTTTCTTAGTCCTGAAAATAGTACTTTTTCTAAGATCTGAATTGTTTTTTTTTCTCAGGTGAGCATATGCATATACTGGTTTGCCTGTCAGCATGGAAACAGGAGTCTGAAATCATAACTCCATTTAGAGTTGCTGCCGCAATGTCTAGAAATGGTAAATCCAGCTCAAATAAAAAGCAACATATTGAAACTCTAGGGAAGCCATCTAGTCCAGTCAGTCTGAATGGGATTGTAAGTAGCATACCTGAAGAAACCGTCGACCAAAATGCGGAAAACAATAGTGAAACCCTTTCATCTGCAAGTGATTTGAGTCCTAAAGATGATATTTCTGCAACTGAGTCTCTCCTCCGTATGGAGTCACATAAACAGCAAACTGAGATTATACTTGAAAGTTTTAAAAATTCAAATTTCTTCATCAGAATCATCGAGTCAGATGAACAACTTTGGTCTAGAAGAAATGACCCTTCTGCCATGAATTCTGAGGTAGTAGGGAGAAGAAGCCACCCTAATAATGGATCAAAAAAGGTCCCAAAGAGCAATGTTTTCAGTGCAGTAGTTGATAAGGGTAGTTTTGATGGCAACGCATCTGGTGGAGTAGCTAGAGATACTGTCAAATGCTATTCTTTGTCCAATGGTGACATAGTGGTATGTTTACAGCAGCTTGGTATTTTCTTATTTGCAAGTCATGGAGAAATTATATAAACCTTGTAGTACTTGCACATGATATCTAAGTGTGGATTATTCGATTACTTGCAACTATTTGCCTGTTGTCATATTCTATGATCTTTTTTCAAGTAGTCATTCCAATAATATATTTCTGTTCTCCTTCACCAGAAATTATGTAATTTAGATGGTTAAAACAGACATATAAGGACACTGTTTTATACTATACTGACTACAGAGTTTTGGGGTCTCTTTGGCACCATGTAACATGTCCAACAAATCATCAGGAACATTATGTTTGACTTATGTTATGATAATAATACAATTTTCGACACCTTATATGTTTACTTTCTTGAGGTTTGAGGGTACGAAGACATTGAATGTAATGTTAAATTCTTGGATTAGACATTTTCTTGCAAGTCTCTCACTGCTGATGATCGGCATGCTTCATTAGGTTAATTCAGTAGTATTGAAAGGTTAGGTAGCATGATGCTTGGTACCAATTTAATATGGTGTTGGATATTGTGGCGATTCATTAGTTTATTTTGTGTTGCATTAGAGAACTCCGTAAGAAGTTTGCATATAACATCTGTTTTTTTTTTTTCCATTTTCCTTCCTCTGTGCCTAGCCATGTGAGCATAAGCAAATAATTTTTTTTGGAAATTCTTTAAAAATTGCTCTAATAGAACAGTGTTCTTCTTTAAAATTTTTTACTAGAACTTCTTTTAGTGCTCATACTGCATATTTAATACCATCGAAGGTGGTTGACAACATATCAGGTAGGAAGAGATGACTTCATGGGGAGGATGAGGAGATGGAGGAAGAGAGAGGAATGAGAGAAATAGAGAAAGGGAGAGAAAAAATAGCTGTAACAGTTGTCATTTAGAAGAAAACAAAGAATACATATACCGAGCTGCAGGCTCATCGCCAGTATGATTTGGTAGGCTTACCATCCGGTATCGTTCGGTAGACTTACTGAACTATCGACAGCCTGATAAGTTTGGTACTCGTTATCTATGGCTGGTAAGCTCAGCATGATGAACTTATCGGGCTGTACAATCCATAGTTAACCAGACCGGTTGGGGCAACGAGCTCGACACAGTGAACTTAGTGGATGCCTGAGTGACACAGTCCATCCCAAACTGGACTGAGTGAAATCGTTGGATTCACATATAGGTTCTCTACCGAACCAGTAAATACTGGTTTGTACTGACTTGGTGCAGGTAGTGTTTTAAATCTTGATCAGAACAAAACCTTACATAAGGGAGTCACTCATTTGTGCTCAGTTCTAATGCCTTGATATTAATATAAGTCAAAGTTGTGCTCTTGCTTTCTATATCTTTGCTTTTTATTTTATAGTGATCAATGCTTAGATGAATACAAGTCATACTTGTTGCTTTTTCAAAATCTTGCTAACATATTTTCTAGTAATCCATTTACAGCTTGCCATTGCGAGCCATCAGGATGCATTTAGTTCCAATGTCTAGTGGTTGGAAAGAACCTCAACGACACTACTAGCTTGAAAACATTATATTTCTATCAAATCCCTTTGATGGATAAAGTTGACTATGATTTACTCTGTTATAGCTTATGCAAAGGCTAAAATCTTCATACATGGAATTGTCAGAGGTTCCTCAAGTTTGTTTCTACTGATATTTGTTTCTAAATGACATGCCAGGGGTATCATTTATATCAATCAAATATGCTAATATATCAATATATTGTGCTAAATCTGTCTGTTGCATTGATGCAGGTTCTTTTAGAAGTTAATGTTGGAGTGAACAATTTAAAAGATCCTGTCCTTGAGGTTATTCAATTTGAGAAATACCAATCTAGTAATTCTGCTTTCGAAGACCATAACAATCTGCTGGTTCCAAATATTGACGATCCATGTCGGGAGCTGCTTAATTGGTTGATTCCTTTGGATCGCACATTACCTTCTTCTCGTCCACTCTCACCTCCATTAACATCAAGCGTATCACAAAAGTCAGCATATCCTGCTTCTGGGTCGCAAATTTTTTCTTTTGGTCACTTCAGAAGCTACTCCATGCCTTCATTTCCTCAAATTACAGGACCACCTGCCTCTATAACTTCATTTTCTAGCTCAAAACCTGCTTTTGATCTTGAAGATTTTGATCGCTTGTCACAAGAGAAGCTCATGAAAAATCAAGATACAAGAAATGAGGGGCTTTTATCATTTCGAGGTGTCGCACTGGAGCCACAACGTTTTTCTGCACACTGTGGCTTAGAAGGCATATATTTACCTGGCAGGAGGTGGCAACGAAAGCTTGAAATTATACAACCAGTTGAAATCCATTCTTTTGCTACTGAATGCAATACAGAGGATCTCCTTTGTGTTCAAATAAAGGTATTAATGCTGTTTTTTTTCCTCTAGTTTCTTTTGTCCATTCCATACAAGGCGTATGCTCTCTTTCGCAGAACGTGTCTCCAGCTCATATACCAGAAATAATTATATTCTTGGATGCCATAGCTATTGTCTCTGAGGAGGAGGCATCAAAATGTGGTCCACCTCTATTGCTGCCAATTGCAAGCATTGAGACAGGAAATGGCCATAGCTTACCAGATCTTCCCCTCAGGTTCTTTCAAATAGTCCCATTTTGTTGCTTCTCTATTGTTGTTGATTTGTTATATAGCATTACAGATGTGCACCAAATTCCTAATGGCATAGTCTCATGGAATGCAAAGGTGCACTTAAGAAAAACTCTTGGATGCTTGAGGTAAGATGTGTAGATAAAGTGCATGATTGTTGAAGCAAAGCAGAAACAATCATCTTTTGTTTTAGAAAATAAAAGAAATATCAATGAGAATTAGCAAAAATGTCACAAGTTTCATATTCTAAATTCTTAGAGAGCAAATAAAAGGATAGAAAGTAAACTTTTAACAGAAACAATAATAAAATGATATATTAATTAATTAATTAGTTGATGGATCAAAAGATCAAAAATTAATTATTTATGAATATAATATAATTTATATATTTTTTAGTATTAGAAAAACATTATAAAATGAAACAAAATGGAATGTAAGATAGTAATAAAAAATGTTGGTAAAATAAAAGTTTGATTATACTTCAGTTTTAGAAACATTAACAAAAAAAGGAATTCTGAAAGGCTAAAAGTAAGAAAAATAGAAAATTGCTAATGAAATAAAATATTGAAGAAATATGACTTTGATTGATTGAAGAGAAACTTTTTTCTAATGTAATTATATTGGATTCTATAGTGCTGAAACTGAAAACCATTACAAGTTCTTTTCCTAAATGTTCTGTATTGGATCTATTCTGTTTATCAAAGTCATTCTTTTTTAAGAGGAAAAAAGAGATTTTGTGGACTCTTTGAGAAGTCTCATCATTATTAGAAATTCTCATCCAAAGAGTCTATCTTTAATTGGAATGACAATGATTATTAGAAAAAGAAAAAGAACCCAAAGGTGAATTTTTTGCTGTATTCTTTCTGATGTAGTGGAGGTATGTATCCATCACATCTTTGTCATCTGTTTCTTGTCCTTCCACCATAAAGTGATGCCTATTGTAGAGGCGTCTCTTCTATTATCTTACTGTCTCCTTTTCTTTCTTTATTGACCTTGACAATTTAGGTGAAGTCAATGAAGCCTGTGCCTGGGCTGACTCTCTCCTGCTGCTTTAGCATGGAAAGTACATGTCTCATTGAATTCACCTAGCCTGGCTCCTTCAGAGGTGAACTAGCAGCACCTTGCTTTGCCCAAGCACCTAGGTGCGCACCTTGCTCACCTTAATCAGCACTGTGACTACTAAATATGTTCCAAATTGCACTTCACATGGCTGCCTATAGAATATTTCTGTCACTTAGCCACATTGTGGAGGTAATTGTTTGACTTGCATATTGACTGATGTGACCATAATGTGTGATAAATTGCATATGCAAAATTTCAGCAGCATGTGAGGCCACACATTGTTAGACGGCTATATTTTGCTATCACACAAGAATGTAGTTGTATTCAGAGTATGGTTTGCTTTATTGGTCGATACCGTTCTACCAATCAGTTGTCGGTACGATACATACCTAGCTGTATCGACACATAGTACACTAGGGTATATTGATGTACTGCTCGTATTGATCCTCTATTGGACTGGTACGTACTACTCGTACTGAGTGGTACGTTTCGGTACGTCAAACCTTGATTTATACTACACCAAGTAAATTATTAGTAGGAAGGGAGCTAAGACTATACCTAGGTGGATGGGGAGTAGTGATAAATGGGGTGAGGGTGGAAGGGGAATTTGATATTGATTATGATCTTATTTTAGATTTCTAGATAAAATAACCTTAGATATTGGTCAAAGAATAAAGAAAATCAAAAGCAAAAGGCTTATGTAGTGTAGAACTATGTAGGTGAGATATGCAAAGGATTAAATCAATTCAAAATAATATTTAAGAACCACAGCATTTCAAGGCTTATTGGTAAATCAATAATATATTGATATAATTATACTGGGAAAGAACAAACATATGGATATAATTACAGAAGAAAGGAGAAAAGAATAGAGGTAAAAGGAGAAACAAGGAATTAATCATCTATGGGATTGGTAGAGCTGAGAGGATATCAGGACTCAATTGATAATTTATAGAGGTTAAAGTAGCAGCATATTTTTCTGACATCATGACTGAAGGAATATTCTCATATCCTTTAGTATCTATATACCTATCTTGTACAGGTAGCAAGGATTTTAATTTCGAATGATACCGCTCAATACCGTTGATCTATCCTCATATCAGACGATACGAGGCTATATCGGGCGGTAACGGTTGATATTTCGATCGTTACCGCCCGAAACAGGTCGGTAACAGTCAATTTCGACTATCGCCGCCTACTACCAGGTGATATCAACTTGGTTGTGGCCTGGCTGCGGCGAGGGAAGAAGAAGTATTAAGGGAGAAGAGAGAGAATCGGGAGAACCTCGATGCTTCTCGATCTGGCGCCGCCCTCCCTCGACAATCCTGATCCAGGAGGTAACGGAGAGGCAATGACTCAGTTTCTTCACCGAAGACCAGAGACGCTTGCGGCCTTCATCGCATTCTTCACCGAAGGCTGAAAACGTCTGCAGCCTTCAATGTCTTCGCTGAATGCCACAGATAAGAAGGCTGCGTTCTTCTCCTCGTCTGATGCGACGAGGAGAAGAAAAGGAGGAGACCAGTGATTAAAAGCG